CGTGATTCTGCCGCGGTAATGATCGCATTCGGGCCGAGGCGACAGATCTCCCCGGAACCAAATTAAGTCGCTGTGCAGTTCCGTTGTCGTCGGTACCGGCTGAGGTGGGAGGGGGGGGGGGTGAAGGGGGGTTAGGAGGAAAAGGGGTGGGGGTGGGGGGAGGAATAAGGGGGGGTGGAGGGAGGAAAAAGGGGGGGTGGAGGGAGGATTAAGGGTGGGGTGGGGTGGAGGGAGGAAAAAGGGTGGGTGGAGGGAGGAAAAAGTGGGCGGAGGAGAGGATTAAGGGTGGGGTGGGGTGGAGGGAGGTAAAAGGGGGGGGGTGAAGAGACGAAAGAAAGGGAGAGTAAAAGGAAGGTGGTGGGAAAACAGGGGGAAAGGGGAAAGGGTTGAAAGAGAGAGAAAAACGAAAGAAAAAGAGAAAGGAAGGAGGGAGGGAGGAAACAGAAAATAGGAACAGGAGAAAGGGATAAGAAAAAAAAAGACGAAAGAGGGAAAAGGAAGAAAGGAGAAATTCACACAACCATTACCACCCACACATTCATAAAAAAAAAAAAAAAATCTAACAACAACACGACAAAATATTTCAAGTAAACAAATTCACACAACTAGAAGCCAAACTTTCTATCTAAGTTTACGGTCAACGTCCTACTCACTCCCTATTATCTCCGTGGATTCTTCGTTGGGAGCAAGAGGTCCGGCAGCTTTTATTTTCTTATCTCGTTATTTTCAGTCTATTTTTCATCGCTGGTGTTACTATTATTATTATCAATATTATTATTATTGCTACAATTATTATTATTATTATTATTATTATTAATATTATTATTATTGTTACAATTATTATTATTATTATTATTATCAATATTATTATTATCAATATTATTATTGCTACAATTATTATTATTATTATTATCATTATTATCATTAATATTATGATTATCATTATCAACAATATTATCCTTATCATTATTATCATCATGATTTTCATTATCATCATTATTATTACTATCATCATCATTATCATCATTATCGATCATCATCATTATTTATCTTTTTATGAACTGTCTCTTCATCATCCATTTTACAAAACTGAATTCGAAAAAAAACGTGATATTCGCACAGTACGTAAGCATGAACCTTCTGTAATATTTCACAGATCGAGGCTGCGTGTGCAATTATGGCAGCAGTGACAGATACGGTCGGGATTAAAAAGAAATTTTAGGAAGATTTACGGGGAAATATCTTTTTTTGAGGGAAATATGTACCCTTTCGCTGGCTTTGTAAAAGGGATTACATCTATGTGGTTTGAGGATACATAGTATACATACATACATACATACATACATACGTACACACACACACACACACACACACACACACACACACACACACACATACACACACACACACATACACACGCATACCCCCACCCCCTTTCCAACACGAGTACAAACCCCCCTCCCCACTCCCAACGCCTAAAATCCTCCCCCATCCACACACCCACAACATTACCCCCCCGCCCCCTCTCAACACATATCTACAACTCCCCTCCAAACACACGCCCACAGCCCCTTCCTTCCGAACACACGCCCACAGCCTCTCCCCTTCAAAAACACACTCTCAGCCCCTCTCACTCCAAACACAGGCCCACAATCCCTCCCCCACCCCCTCCAAAACACGCCCACAGCCCCCTCCTTCTCATCACACAGGCCCACAACCCCTCCCCTACCCCCTCCAAAACACGCCCACAGCCCCTCCCTCTCCAAACTCACGCCCCAATGCCATAAATCTGGACTCGCGACAGCATCCGTCCGCTATCTTCTCTCCAGTCTGATCGGCCGCCATTTTGAAATATAAAACCAAAAAGACAAATATATTAAAAGTGTCGTGACGTGCTATTTCCCGTTCGATTGCACGTTGGAGAAGATATGCGTACAAATGAGAAGAAGAAGAAGAAGAAGAAGAAGAAGAAGAAGAAGAAGAAGAAGAAGAAGAAAAAGAAGAAGGAGGAGGCGGAGGTGGAAGAGGTGGAGAAGGAGGAGCAGAAGGAGGAGGAGGAGGAGGAGGAGGAGGAGGAGGAGGAGGTTTGTGGAGGAGGAGAAAGAGAAGGAGGAGAAGAAAAAGAAAGACATCGAGAAGAGGTAGCAGATGCACAGCATAAGAAGATGAAAGAGGAAGGAGAGAAACGAAGCCTGTTAATTTAGTGGAGAAGGGGAGAACCAAATAAACATTTGAAGAGAGGGCGGGAGAAAAAGAGGACGTAAAAAAGCAAAGAAAGCAACAAGGAGACATTCTAAAGCAAAGCTGAAAAAGTAAGGATAAGAACGAGAGAGAAAAAAATATATATAAATACAGAAAGAAAAACTAGACTGGGAAATGTGTCACTTATTTTTGTCTTTGTTTGTCTTTCCTCTGCCTTTATTTAACTCTGCCTCTCTCTGTTCGAGTCTGTCTGTCTACTTGTCTCTGTCTGTCTGTCTCTGTCTCTTTCACCCTAACCTAACACCTTCCCCTCCGTCTTCCCCAACACGCGTCCCCCACCCAATCATGCCCACCTCCCTCTCCAACTCCCCCCCTCCTCCTCCCTTCCCTCAATCCTCCCCCCCCCCCCCCCCAACCGCAACCCCTCAGCCGCGACACAAAACTTCCCGCGAAGACGATTAGGAGGCAAACTTCAGGGGGATATTTGCTGATTTCTTAAAAGCGTTTGTGTCGCTCCTTCGCTGGCCGGGACTGACGACGTCTTCTACCGAGAAATCATTAAGGGAGGAAGGAGGGGAGGGGGAGTGGGGAGGAAGGAGGGGAAGGAGAGAGGGGGGGGAAAGAGATAGGGAGGGGGAGGGGGAGGGAAAGGAGAAAGGGGGGAAAGAGATAGGGAGGGGGGGAGGAGAGAGGGGGAAAGAGGGGGAAGGAGGAGAAAGGAGGAGGAGGGAGGAGGAGGGAGGAGGGAGGGAAATGGAGGAAAGGTGGGAAGTGGAGAGAGAGAGTCAGAGAGAGAGAGAGAGAGAGAGAGAAAGACAGGGACTGAGACAAAGACAGACAGAAAGACAGAGAATAGTTCTCAAAACTGAAAGTAAAAGAGGACCCGAGATCCAGGCAGAACAGAAAGGAGAAAAAAAAGAGTTCTAAAAAAAAGCCCCAAAACTCAAAGATCCTCTCGCCAGATCATTTCCCAATACACTCCCGCGACACAGAAGTTCCGAGGGCTTCGAGTTCCGCTTCGAACCGCCCCTTTGATCACCGACTTAGAACTCGCTCGGGCTTCAGTCTGTGTCTGTCGCAGTCACTTGTGAAAGTGGAAATGCTTTAATATAAATAAGATGTATTTTTTTTTTTTTACTTTGTTTGATCGATTGGTTTTCGTAATGAAACACTTATCGAGATATGTCCTTGAGTAATTAATTAGTCGATTTGTTTTACTCGATAGCTTTTATTGACTATCATCATTACTATTCCATTATTATCATTATTCTTATTTTTTTCCCCATGTGCTGTGCCGAGATCTCTCAATTCTATTCGAACGGAGAGATAAAGAAAAGAAAGAAATGGTGGAGGGGGGCGGGGGGACTGGGACACTGCCTGGCTCTGGTGCCCCTTCCTGAGTAAAGCTCCAATCCCGGTCTCATCTTTGCTTGTCCCATGACGCTCTTTCTGTCGAGTCGTTCGAAAAAGAGAAAGAATAAGAGAAAAGAAGGCAAGAAAATAAAAAGACTTTCTTCTAAAATCGAACTACTTTCAGGAGAATCCTTGTAGCACATAATAATGTCCACTGGCATTCAGTGTTTGCCCTCACATTCAGAACAAGAAAACGAACAACAACAGTAACAAAACGTGTGTATGTGTGTGTGTGTGTGTGTGTGTGTGTGTGTGTGTGTGTGTGTGTGTGTGTGTGTGTGTGTGTGTGTGTTGTGTGTGTGTGTGTGTGTGTATGTGTGTGTGTGTGTGTGTGTGTGTGTGTGTGTGTGTGTGTGTGTGTGTGTGTGTGTGTGTGTGTGTGTGTGTGTGTGTGTGTGTGTGTGTGTGTCTGTGTGTGCGTGCGTGCGTGTACATGTGTCCGTGCGTGCGTGTGCATGTGTGTGTTTATATGTGTGTGTGTTTATGTATGTGTATGTGTGTGTTTATGTATGCGTATGTGTGTGTGTTTGTTTATGTGTATGTGTGTGTGTGTGTGTGTGTGTGTGTGTGTGTGTGTGTGTGTGTGTGTGTGTGTGTGTGTGTGTGTGTGTGTGTGTGTGTGTGTGTGTGTGCGTATGTGTGCGTGTGTGTATGTGTGTGTGCGCTCGTGTGTGTGTTTGCGTGTGCGTATGTGTACTAGATAAACGCTTTTCTTTCTACCGTCACAAGCTGCTTTAGCTCAGCTGTCATCTATATTTTTAGGAAATTGGCTTCTAGTTTAATTAGCCCTTACGTGCACGAGTGAAGAATTGTGTTCCCAATCACAGAAATATTTTCATTGTCCAGAGCGTATTTATTTTGCTATTCAAATATTTCTCTTTTTTTCTTTCTTTCTTTCCTTTTTTCTTGTCTTTCTCTTTCTTTCTTTCTTTAGAGTGCTTTTTGAGTGCTGGAATAAAGAGTCAGAAAATGCTTGGAATGGCATAATTTAAGGTATTTGTATTAGGACACTGCAGAAAGCTCTGAAAAATTATACAGAAAGAAGGAAGAAGAGAAAGTGGAAGATGAAAGAGAAGGGAAGGAAGAGGGGGAGGAAGATGAAAAGGAGGCGGAAGAGAAGGACAAGGAGAGGAGGAGGAGGAGGAGGAGGAGGAGGAGAAAGAAGAGGAGGTGGGATAGGAGGAGGAGGAAAAGGAAGAGGAGGAAGAGGGCTAGGAGGAAGAGGTGAAGGAAGAGGAGGAGGAGGAAAAGGAGGAGAATTTAGAAAAAAAATAAGAATAAGAATAAGAAGAGGAGGAGAAAGAGGAAGAAAAAGAAAAATCGAAAACAATCGCCCCTCAACAAAAGCTAAAAGAACCCCCTTTATCATAACCCCCGTGACTCAC